CTCATCAGACAGCACTAAAAGTCTGCGGCTGCGCACAACTTCAACTCCCCAGCTCATCTGGATAGCCGGAGGCCTTGTCGAAGACAGATAATAGGCGAAAGGTACAAAGGCGCACATATCTCAATACATGCATGAGAAGAAAGTAGAGGGTCGTTATGGTAGTCTGAGATGGCCCTCACTTTCTCTGATGTGTATGTACAAGGGTGACATGTCATTGTCCTCATGCTCAGCCTAAAGCAAAGCTCCTTTGTTATCTGTTTTGTCATCTGTGTATCCATAAACCCTGGCCCTGGTGTGGACCGCAAAACGGAGGACAGGGCAAATACAGACAAAACAACAGGGCATCTTGAAGTCATTTTAAAAAAGACGTATCAAAAAAAGAGTTTGAATCACTGCATGGAACAAATGCATTCATAGATGTTTCTGTATAAGAACTGAAGTAACACACATATTACAAACTGCTCAAATGTAAACAAAGACTAGGAGTTTAAAGTGACTGTTAAATGTAATCTTGGTACAAAACAGGCCCCATAGCTACAAAAGGGAGAATAATATTGAGATGTTCTTGACGTGTTACTCCAAAACTCAAATTTCAGATCATATGTTCCACTTTGGCGAGCCTTCAAAACAAACTTCACTGCTACCAAATCTCAGAAGTGTTACCACGGTTCCTCTGTGAGGGTGTGATGATGAGTTCAGAGCACTAATGGTGTCTGTGAAAGGCGTGCAGCACTGAGTTCTAGGCTGGCAGGGACGTGCGTAGAGTGGTACACTTGTCAGAGCCCATCATGTAAGTGCTCCTCTGAACTAGAGCCGTGAATAATTTCTTCGAGATCCAGTAGTCTTTCTTCTTTTTCCAAACTATCTTTACAGAACCATCCACCAAGTCCTTGTAACTCTTTCAACACTTGCAGTGGAGAACGTAAAGAGACTGAATAAAACAGTAGTTTCTCTTTGTTTAACTGAAGAAAGTTTGCAAAACTGGGCTCAGAGCTCAACATTAAAAGAAGAGCTTATGTGAGCAGTCAGGCAGAAAGAAAGTCAGGGTGGGAGGCTTGAAAGGGATTGTGGGTTGGAGGAGTTAGCTTATCTAATTGTAAACGAGCACACAAGTGTATGGACACTCATCATGCACTTGTCAAAACATGGCTGCCTGTGATTTTGCTCTGCTGTGATTCTGCTGTTTGCTGAAGATTCTGTTTACATTCAGGCTGATTCAGACAAGTCATTTATAATTCCACTTTGAGAGCACAATTGTAGCAATTACGCCAAGTTAGGTGTTGTACAGCTAGAGAAACAACAGAATGAAAAGATTCATCACAGGCATCCCTTACAATTATTGCCTCATTCTTGGGCTTTATTTTCATTCTTGCTGCATCATCTTTGAACAAAGAGTTGCAGATATGCAGTCTCTTCAACTGTTGTTTCATACTCTACAAGTTAAGTTTTGTATTGTTTGCTTCACTATATATTTGTTAGTTTAAGAGCTATGGTGAAGTATTTAAAAGTTAAGTGGCGTAGATGTAATATGATGTAGGAAAAGTGGGATATGAAAAAGCCGATGACCGGCTTAGACACACGCTGACATTGCATCCATATATCCATATTGCTAGCATGAATAGAATTTGGTTACATACATTTTAGTTCAAGCAACTACTGGTAATGAGAGGAAGAAGCGGGAGAGAGCAGGCAGATGGGTACAAGCACTGAACATGAAGCTGATCTTGATTTCACAGTGGAGGGGGGAAAGTGAGAAAAACCTCACGCAGATGTTCACAAGCTGCTGTGAGAAGAACATCAACATCTCTTTTAAACAAAGGCATTCTGTCCAAGCCTGAGAACACCTTGACAGAGCACATCTTGTGGTTTTTCCAAATACACACTACATGTGAAGGAGGCACATCATTCTACATTCACTGGAACATCCTCGCTTGCCAGGTGTCACTGGTTGCACAGAGGCCAAAGTTGGAAGGAAGGAAGAGGCAGTTTTGTTTTTCAGCGCAGGCCTGAAACTGCTGATGGATGCATTTCCTAAGTTTTTGCATCCACACACATGCTGGAACAAATGGTGTGACTGTATGCTAATGTTCTTGCTTGTGGCCATGCATTATCTGCTCAACAGAGCAAAAGATTAAAAACAACCTCCGATCACTTGTGTTTTGAAGAGAAAACATATTTGTTAGACAGTATTTTGCACTTCTCTTTTAATGTCAAGAGGCATTAATGTCAAGTAATGAGTCAGGCTAATCCTGCATTGGTTTCTGTGGTTTTGAGCATTAAAACTTGATGCGTCTCCTCACTTCACTGCAAATGCCTGTGGACCTCTTAATGTGCAAGACAAATGCTCTGCTGGGTTGGATTGACTGTAATGGATTTGGTCCAAAAGGACAGATATCCAGCTTTCATAAATTGATTTGATCTCTGAGGACAGAAAACGAGAGATAGTTTTTACAATTGAGACATCAATGGAACATAGACCACAACAAAGGAGATAGAGAAAGCCAATCCCTGCTAAACTGGCACTGGAAAAATCAAGCATGTTCTCAAGTGACTGATTATTAGTGTCTCTGAACCACTTATATCTCATTTTTAAGAGGTCACAGGTTTGCTTAGTAAATGAAATAAATCCTAAGCCAATCCCAAACATTTAATTAGAGCTCTGCGTAATCCTATCAGTGGGGTGTAAAGTTTCTTCTTGCACTACCTTTACATAAATCGTTGTTGTTTTACTTGAGAGGATATGTATAAATAAAAATTCCTTTTGCTGCTAATAGTATTATCAACATATTTTAGTAGTTAAAGATCTGCAATTTATCACAGGGTCTATTTTTAAAATCAATCCAATCACTCATAAATTCAGCATCAAATAAAGTGATCAGATTACATTTAATGCATTTTTTTGTATCCGCAGGCCACGGCCATAAATTAAAACCATCTGAAAGCGTCTGGAGTGCATTTCATTTTGCCTTGATTCATGTGCTGTAATATAACCCCTCTCAGATTCCCTGTGTGGCACAGGACAGCGAGGCGAGTGAGCTCAGTGCGTCAGGAGATTAAAACCTAGCCGCGAGATTGGACTCAGGATGTAGGCATCAGATAATATAGTAGAGATATAATGAAAGCGTAAACAAAAACCTGGCACAAGAGAGAAATGCCTGCTCATAAAAATCTCCTTTCTCACCATTGTCTCTCCAACAAAAGAGATTCCAGAGGGCTGGTGCCCTGCGAGTTATTAACACTTGACTGAATAACATACTTTAAAACTTTAAGTGATTTGAGTTTTACCCTTGCTTTTCCATTGTTAGATAACATGTGTAGATGTCCTTCAGGGGCTGAATGAACAAGGAGCGCTTTGTATGGAAGGCATACAATGAATGCACTGCTGGGAATCCTTCCAAAAATTACAGTGCGATTGCAAAACTGACCCATAAATATAATGAACGTGTCAAAATATTGCCAGTTTCCTATCTAGACAGACAAGCCAATTAAATCATTTTCGCACATGCAAGTCTATGAGGACAGATTATGATGTGTAAAGCTCTTGCACTCTGTCGGCACACTGCTGAGCCTTTCTCTTCTGCAGGCTGGGTTTACACCTTTGTGTCCTTGTGTGCCCGGCTGCTGTGGTGATAGATTGGTAGTCACTTTCATGTCGGGGAGCAACGCTGAATGAGACGCCTGCCGGACAGCTGTGCTGGCACAGACTGCTATCTTTGCTGCCAAGTCAAGAGCCTTTTTTACCCCTGCTGCTCCCTGAGCACTGCTCAGTGCTTACCGTCAGCTTCTTCCCCTGTCGTGCCTCAATGACAAAACACACATCAGGCTATAACAGCTCACTTTGCACTGGCTTGGCGGGCCCGGTCTGACTTTTGTGTTATTAGCAGGGTCACTGTCTGAGGCGTGTGCTGGGCCAGCGGGGAATACAAGGCCATATTTTGTCCCCGTTGTTCATTTTAATATACAGTATTAAATGAATCAAGAAGCCCTGATCCATGCAGAAATACACAGTGTAATTTCCCTTGTTGGTGAGAGCTGTTACCATTTTATTTAAAGTTTAAAACAAGTCACATTAGTCAGCTGAGAGAAGCATCACAGCAGGCCTCTGAAGTACCACCAGGTTTCACAGACCTGGGAATGAGACATATTTTAGTTACAGCAGATGAAGAAGTTAACATGATAAATGTAGAGAGGCGTGCTATATGATTAGCATTTTGCTGTGGCACCAGACTGCATTAATAAGAGATGGTGAAAAATCAATAGTAGTCATTACACCACTACGCAGGATAAAATATTAACTAGTGTGGAAACTGACCTGAAGAGATTTCTTTTCTTCTAGCAGTGATGGCTTGATATGGTTATTGGTAATAAACACCTACAGTGGTGCAACTACTAGCTGGGGAAATATCATATTTACCATGGAGAGGGAAGATGAGCGGTTAACCTTCAGTATGATTAGACCAACCTGCTTTCTTGCATTTTCTAATAAAGGCAGATGAAAGTGTTTGAGCAAAGAATATTTCAAATAATAGTTTATCCATTCGTAGGCTTGTATTGTCTCCTAACCCCAGGCTTTAAATACATCTCAGAGTACGGTGTATTATGTCACATGAATAAAGTTACTTTGATCACTACATGCTACTTCAAGTGTGAATGCAAAATCGACTTCTACTGTCTGTTATGATTGTGTGTATCAGAAGCATAAGTCTGAAACAGGAAGCAGATGATGTCATTAGCCAAATCCTTCAGACATTGTTCCATTCTCACTGCAGCTATCCTTACAGCCAGGTCCTCCTTTCTCTATCTTTTGTGAACGCATTCCCAGTGGAAAGATCGACATGGATTTCACAAACAATTTATCCTAAATTGCAGGAAAATTGGCTGCAGATCTTAGAGAGGGGAAAGGAAAAAAAAAAGTAGAATGAGGTTAAGATGATCCACAGGGTATTTATTCACTAAGGCTCTCATGGTAGTTCCACAGGGTTCTCCCCTTTCAAAATAACCCAGAACCCCCCTTTCAGACCCCTCAACAGCCCCCGCTTTCATTTGCTGTTTCAAATGTATTAATGGGCCGGAACCTTCCTGGATGATCTTGGCCCTCTCCCTAATGAAAACGCTCTGTGGCTGGATCCCAGCGCAGTAATCAGGCTCTGGCCTCGGGAGCACAGGGGCATACAACATGCAGAGCAGGAAGAGCCCCAGTGTGACCCCACACTGTGTCCTTCAGTCACCCCATGTTGCCCTATGCCCTCTCTGGCCTGGGCCTCTTCTCCTCTAAAGCCCTCGCCGTCAGGGGTCACAAGCCTGGACCTCTATAGAGTGAAGAGGAAAATCAGGTTCAGGTTCAGGTTTATTATTATTGTCATCCTCAGTGTCACAGTTATGTATTTTCACAGGCAATTAGAGCTAGAGAAAACTCAAAAGATTGTATATTTTGAATTATTATCATCCTGTTCTAGGCTATTTGTTTCAGCTCCATTTCGAGGCAATATGTCAGACGATGTTTACTTTGACATGTATTTAAATGAATCTTATCTCAACGAAGCAAAGTTATAGTTACATATTTCGAATAATTACATCATCTTTAACTATGAAAGCTGTGTGTGCTGTGTACTTCCCTTTGGGTGTCTCTGATGCATCATCACATCAGCCACCGTGAACAGAAGCTAGGCACATATTGTAAACAGTGAAATAAGAGCCATCTATTTCCATACGAGGTGCTGTTTTGAAATGATGATAGGGACACAGCAGAAGCAGAAACCATGTTTTGGGTCCTCTAGGTGTATAGCCTGTCACTAACCAGAAGGCATTTGTTTGGTCTGTTCTGCCAGGTCTCCTTTAGTCTCCACTCTGTGGTCCTAGACCCCAGCCTTCAGCCTTGAGGTAAGCCTGGCCAAATGTGGCGACCTTGGAGCTGCAAGTATAATAGGACACTAAAATGATGGGGCAGTCACCAGGACGCACATCATCTGTTTTAACTTGTCTGTCTTCCCTGGCAGACTCGCTGAGTGCTGTTTTCATTCCTCTTGGATATTATCTTTTACAGTTTTGCAAAACTGTCAGTGAACCTAAAGCCCTGAGCCCCACCTGCTGTATTGTCACCCCTAATGACAGCCAGACACCCTCAAAGACAGGGCACTAAGGTGTTCTATGATTTTACTTAAAAAAAAAAAGGAGACTTTAAGATAAGTGTAACACTTTGTATTCTCTTTTCTGCTACAAGTAAACATGCTTTCTAAGTGCAAACAATTCCTAGAAAACACTGAACATCTTCTGTGCAATAATCTAATGGTGCGGTGATGTCACTCAAACTCAACGATGTAAGATCAATCCTGAAGATGATTTTGGTAAATCATGAAAAAAAAAAAACCCCTCTTACTTCAGTTTATGTGGAGCAGTTATGTGTGAGCACTTCTTCAGGGCAATTTATTTGACAATAAAAGAGGAGCCAGCCTTCACATGTATTAGTGGAGCATGTGACAACTACACTATGGTCTGCATTTGTTTTTCTTGGGCACTTCCATTCTCTCCCTGACCTTGGGGGACCAAGGACTGGCGGGCAATTGTGTGGTGTCTTGAACAGTTAAGTCAGACATTTCGCTGCTCTACAAAGAACCGCCGCCCCTACTACTGAAGAAATTACAGAGAAAAGATAATGAAAGAAAATCTGTCAGATATGAAGAACTCTCAGCTTTTTAGTGTCAGTGCTCAGCCAGGCATAAAATGCTCCATTTAAACCCCTCTGTAGAAACAAAGGTTTTTGGCACAGTCTTACAGTTAGTGATTGTCTGGGAATGTAAGGAAAGATTTCCATTGCTTCTCAGCCCCCTCCTCTCCCCTACACATCCAACCTTTTTTCTCTATAGCTCTTTCTCCCTCTTCATATGAGACTGTAACATTGAACAGCTCAGCCTGGAGCTGTGAAGCAAACTTGGTGAAAAGCAGCAGGAGATGAATCTCTTTAAGTCCCCTTGAACAACATAAAACAGTCTGGGTTTCCATTATTCAGGGGCCTTTGCTGCTTGTTTACAGTGGAGCGGGCCGGCTGCACCTGCACTCCGGATGGCCTGACAGTTTGATGGGCCCTTTAATGGTGATTCACTGGCCAGATCTATGTGGATAAAAATGGAATTCGGAGAGAGCAATCTAATAAGAAAATAAAGCACTGAAAAGTTGCCATGGCTGTTGGATGGGGTTGTTGGGCCCTGTTCACCAGGCCGCGCTGGCTGGAAATCAAATCCAAACTTTGATCTCTGAGCTTTATTGCATGCTATCACCTCAGCCCATACTCAAATAGAGCATCACCAGGTCAAGTAGATGGTACTTCACTTTTACCTTTTAGAACTTGGGCCTTGAAGCTCTATAAACAGGAATTCAATTCCAGTGTTGCAGATAATTTTAGCAGTGTGCCTTTACAGTGAACTATATATTCTTTACAGAGCTGGAATAAAGTATCTCACTGATAAAGATATATGCCAAAGACATTTCTAAACACATATGATTATGCATTTTCATTAAGCTGGGACAGGATTTATTTCTGCTTTGGATATAGTCCTGCATGATTTTCACAAGACACTGACACTGCTCTAGAAAGAATGCAATAATAATATAAAAATTAACTATAGAGTATCATAGGATAACTCCAAGGACATTTGTGTACTGCATATCTGTATTTTATCACTTAATTAAAAATATATAAATATATAAAATACACTACATTTTGGTTGTTTTGTTATAGTGAATATCTTTTTTTCTGTTTTGTATGCCTTCCTTTATTGTGTCTTACAAGATAATATGTCATGCATAATATCCCATGAATCCCCGCTCTCTAGGGATGTAACAATATTTGTATTTTCACGATACTGCAATAAAAATGTCTTGATAATGTTGTGGGACTATGACAATATCTACATATGTTATTTCGTTAGTATAACTGCTTGCTGGTGCTCCTTTAGTCTCCACTCCAGCGGGTGCTCCAATGACTTTTAGCGCTGTTGTGTGGCAGCATTTCAGTTTTCCCATTTCACAAAATGACAGATGCAAAAAGGAAACTAACAAACATTGAACAATTTGCAAATAATGCTCGAGGAAGGCAATACTGGCCTAGTTTAGGACTGAGACAGTCCTGGATATGTCTTGCAGAACATGACTGCATGCAACATTTTAACAAAGATGGGCAAATAAACTGGACACACATACACAAAACCAACCACCTAGTAACCATCATTAAAGCATTTTCTCTTGAAAAAGTAGACTAGGATGTTTGAAAAACACCTCCAGTAAAACACACATATCACTTTCTGTGGCTTGTCCTAATGTACTTTGGCATCTTTTACTGTTTACTTGCCCCTTGCATGGGGATATGTGGATGCACATTGAGAGATGATGTCTAATTCCTCATGTGTCCAACACACCTGGCCAATAAAACAGATTCTGATTCTGATTCTTCTTCTCATTCTGGTGTGCCAAGCAGCAAGCCGCTCAACCCTGCCCCCCAGTGGACAGGGGGGTGGGGAAATACCCACCTCAACTGGTCAAGTGCATTTTTTTCAGCATTTTTTTTCAATGCTGTGATAAATATTGTATCATGGACATGTTTTTATCATGGCAATATCGTACCATGAGTTTTTGGTATTGTTACATCCCTACTGCTCTCTCTAATTCTCTATAAATTCCAGTGAATAAGAAAGCAAAAAAGCAGATGTCATTAACCAGCACTCTGAGAACAGGTACCAAAAGCTGTGGGGCTTCCACCTACAACATTTATTCTCTGTGTAACTTGTGGAATTAGTTGCTATGACCTCCAAAGGCATCCCATCCTGCTATTCAAAGGCCCTCTTCCATGAGATGTAATGTATCCAGAGGCAGTCCAGGCTCTATGATGTTCAACATCATGTACCCATTATAGGCAGTGGTGCACTCACACATACACACAAACACATGTGTATAGACTCACATGGATACATAAAGATGCTTACACACGCACACAAACACACACATGTCCAGGGCTCTAACTCACAGTCTGCATTGATCTTTCCTGTCATATATCATTAATGAGGGTATTAAATCCATGTTTAGGAAGCAGAACGCTGGCTTTTTTTGGTGGGGGGGTGGGGGGGTCATGGAGCAGCTCATAATGCAAAAGAACCTCACTGAAA